GAAGGGCCATAGGTAAGTGTCACACTCATTCTAAAGAACGAACTCTTCCAGGGCTGGAGTTCGAGCACAATTAGCAGTCTGCTCTTAAGGACAAGTTCTAACTCAATATATATCCCTTGTGTCTAGTCCACATTTCTCTTTCTACTGCCAAGATGACTGGGCTGCAGGACACAACTATGAATTTGAATCACCATGTCCCTTTCATTATGCTAATCTAGCTGCTAATACGTATTATACTTTTAATCAATATGATGCCAGGATTTTATGAAACTTTAACCTTAGCTAGTGTTTTTTACTTTCTCTCCCCATTTGACCTCGTCCTCGACTTTCTCTAGCCTGTGCGGAAATCTTCTCTAAACATCTGCTGTGTTTATGGTGTCCCTGTCCTGCTCCAGAACATGCTATGACTCCCTATAAGCTCTCAGTGTCCAAAATCCTCCGCCTGGGCTCTGGGGCTCAGAAACTGGCTCAATGTCTAACTCAGTGTTTTGTTTTACTTCTCAGAATGGAGCTGCTGGATTAGATGCGCATGCCACCGGGTCTCACAGAAACCATTACTGTAACCTCGGTGCCTGTCTGCTATAGAAAAAAGACTCCATAAGTACGGGCCATGTTTACAAAGTCTTCTCCACCTTATTCCAATCGTTTCTTTTCCTTCTTTAAATTCTCTTTACCATAATAATCAGCACAGTGCCACTTGTGATGTATTCACTCTAATTGATTCACTATGTCAGCTACTTAATTTTCCTAAACAGACTAAGTCCTCCGGGAAAGAGACCATGCATAGATGTAGCTGTCCTATAAACAGATGTTAATTAATATTTCATTCATTGAGTGTAATTTAACATTTGTTGTGACCTAAAATCTACATTTATATATTTTTCATAATTGTCTCCTATAATGATACAACATAGGCCATTATATATACTACATAGTTTCATAAAAACTAACTATAAAACATCATAAGCTCATGCATGTTTGAAGGCACCTCCCATCTTCCCAAGGCTTGTTGTTTTTTGGGGTTTTTTTGCATAAAAGAAATATAATGAACAGAGCTTTGCAGGATCTGTCCAATGCAAAGCCATAAAGCTAGCTGGTGGCCCTGCCGAACCAAATAAAAGCTGCTAGTGTTAAGTAAGATGAGGAATTGGGGATTAAATATGATAATACAGTCTGTTAAGGCAGGTGTTTATATTTTTCCAATGTCTACAGTGAGAATGTAATACTACCATGTACTTTTTATTATAAGGGAAAAAAATCGTGCTTTTGCCAGAGTTAGAAGTACTTTAGCAGAAATGAATTCATTTAATTTCACTAACTTCCTGGGAAGAAATTTGGAGAACATATTAGCTCTATGTTATGAATTAAGATACTGTCCAGGGACTTGAAGTGAAAGGGCTCACGACTGTTTACCAAAATTGGTAGTAAAAACTCTAGTCCCCTCATGGGGAAGCCGCATCTGTCCATGGGACAACATAATGGGTTTATAAATGTGGTCTGGTATGAAATCATTTCTAGATTAAAAAAAAAAAATCACATCAGCATATTCCAAAATAGTTCTCTACTAAAACTGTTTGGAAAAACAGACATACAAGAATGAGGTGGTGGGGGAGGGGGGGTAGTTGGAGAAAAATTGGGCAATGTCATGGTCAACTGTCTTATTTCTTTGAACCATATGCCTACATAGGGCATCAGAGGGTAAAAGATGAAACATTTCTTTTCTCATCTTCATATAATAGTCACTATTTTTTCCTCGGGATAAATTTTAAATTACTAGAGAGGGAAGAGAAATATAAAAGATGAAAATGACCACTTAAATTTCCACAGTCCCCAGGGGCAAAGCCAAGTAACCAGCAAACCTCCCCTCAGAGAAGTGTTTAACTGTTTTATGGGGAATCCATTGGGGACACCCTGTGCTAACTGGAGAGACAAAAGGGATTTGCTGTAAAGTCTTCAGCTTTAACGCCCAAGAAGACAACCGTGGATTAGGTGACCAGAGAGACCATTTGGAAACGCTCCTGCCTGTGGTGCTTCTGAGTCATGGCTTCAGGCAGGAGTAAAGCTGATTTTCAATGACGTAGCTCATGCTTCAGCAATGTTTTGCTATAGACAGATGGTCCATATGGAAACTATGAACTGGCTTCACGTTCAAGATTGTGATGAGCCAAAGCAACATTTCCATGTTTTCTGCTTCTAGCCAAGTGGTCTAGTTTACAACATATTATCCTCAGACATGGTATCTTATGTGTCCTGGTTTTCAATTCTGAGTTGTGATTATTTTTAATGCTATAAATTTTTAAAGACACACTTTGACTTAAAAAAAAGGCCTGAAATATTTTGGGTGTTAACTATATCCCAATACCTCACTTAAGGCACTGTCTTGCTTTGATGCATCAGCAAACACATGGTCCAAAGAAGGGGGGTGCTTATCAAAATCATAAGCATCAAAAAGTTTCATCCCAACAAGATCCAGTAATAAGCTTTAACACTTTTCTGAGACCTTCTAATTACAAAAAATCAAAATCAAATTATGAAGCCAATTTGCTGAGAACTAGCAAATAACATAACCCACTAGACAATGAATTTGAGGAATACAGGGTGTTCAGTCACAGTTTGCTGCTTTAATAATTACTAGAGAAATAACAAGCATTTGTTTCTGGATTTTTTTTTTTTTCTGGATTGGGCTTAAAATTTATAGGTGAAAAACTATAGGTGAAAAAAAAAAATTGCAGTTGTTGGCACAATACCAAAGTGGAACAAACGAACCACACTTCTGTGATTGCATGTTTTGTATAGCACGTGGGAGGGCTGCAGAATCGCTGAAATTAATATGTGGAAAATAGCTGCACTGGTTCCTTAGAGGTATTTGGAAACGATCACATGTACTCACTCAGCTTGTAAATCTTTGCAAAGGCTCTGATGAAAAATGATCATGTTTCTTTATTATAATTAAAATATAGTGGTCTCAGATGTTTTTCTAAAGAAGTAAAAATATGAGACATAGATAATATGAGCACTTTGTTTAAAAAGGAGAACTTAAGAAACTATAATTTAAATGTTTTTCAAGGAGATTTATTAAAATATGATTGGATTGTATGTCTGAGATTAGTACAGAATAACAAGATGTCCCCATATAATAAATAGAACTCATATTTTATAGATTATAATTCTCAGTTTCTGGTATTTTTTATTTTGATCTGAGAAAACCTTAAAGAAAACTGTAAAATTTATGCCTCCTGACTCACTGTGATAAGTCCAAGAGTGCCATGCTTGTGTTGTATTTACACCAAGTCGTCAGAACCAAAGACTAAAACTGAACCATTTTAATTCTTTGCTCTAGGTATACAGATTTGAATATACTGATGAAAAAGTAAAACTCTAAGATTAATTTTAAAATAATAAACACTGATAGTCATGTGAAATAATTCAAACCTGAAATATATTTTTCTATACATTCTTTCATTTTTATCTTGCTTTCAATTTTTGAAAAGACTATTTAACTTTATTTTGGCTTATAATCATTACCTATCTCTATCAAAGAGATGTTTAACAATTGAGGTGATTCCTACTCTTTTATTCACTCCAACAGATGATTTTGACTTTTATAACTTGTCTGAAGGATAAAATCAGCTATACAACCAACACAACTTATCTTCTCCTAGTACTGCTTCTACTCTTAAAAGAAAAGATTTTGAGGGGAAAAAAGCAGTTCTGGGAAGTACCTGTTCATGAGGTTACATGAGACACTGCAGACAGCCCACGTCTAGAACAGCACAGGGAACAGTGAAACATCTCTTACAAAGTGACATTTTTGTCCGGTGTTATGATTGTAAAGCATGTGTCTTTTGAGATGTACTTTATTACTTAGAAACAATGAAGGTTTTTTTAGAACTGGCACATAAATATTTGTATACTACTTACATGATGTTTGAGATTGGCCTTAATAATTTCATGTGCGCTTTTTTTTTTTTTTTGCCATTTTGCTAATTATTCTATTAGCTCTTTAACAAACTCGCTCTTCTTTGTCAACACTTAAGTCACAAGCTAATATTCTGGAGCAGAAGTCATGTTTATGATGGCATGTTTTTTTTCTCATGTAGGACAAGCAGTGCTACTTTATAACATAGGACTTCACTATTGTTCATCATTTCAGTGCAAGAGTAAACTTCCCTGTACAACTTGTGGCCTAAATATCAAGAGTTTAACCTAAGTGCATGGAACAATAAACACATGCTTTTTAATGAGACCTGTTAATATCACCTACAAGGTTTAAATATTTAATGTACTGATAACCTTATTGTTTTAGTCTGCCTATTGAGAGGGAATAACTGTGACTTCTGAATGGTGCATCAAACTCCTTCAGGTGATAGGGCAGAGTGCTATTACAAACATATCTATGAAGAACTGCAGTGCATAAAATAACATTCTGCCCTCTTTACACAATGCTGCTACAACACTAAATCCATTTCCAAACGCATGCAGTTTTTTTTATAATTAGTGAGATCAATCTAAATTCCACTTAAAAAAATAGTTATGAAACAGTAAGTTACTATCAAGTTACTATAAGAGCTGTGTTTGTAAAAAATCTTCTGTACTTCTGTATCTTTTAGTTATCCTATTCGTTTTGCTGGTGATCACTGGGGTAAAAAACAACATTATCTTTCAGTTTAATTCACACATTGGATGGAGAAGTAGGTACCAATAGTTAGAGGCCTCTATGATATTTGCACATCTCTTCTAGGTAACAATGATAAAAACCATAAAGAAAGCAACTTTATAAACATGAAGGCAAAAAGGAAAAACAATTGCAAAAATAAAACAGCACAATTCTGAATATAACAGAGATGACAAATGGTGTGAACTTTTAAAAACAAATAAAAAGCATTATTCAACAGGATGCAATGAAATTGGAAAAAGAAGCAACAGTACATCATGAAACACAGAGTCATCTGAAAGAAGCAGTTATGGACATAAGCCACAGAGAGGATTTCTTTCCTTACTTGCACAAGTATCTTGAGGGGTTTGAAAGGTCTTTCACCATGAAGCACTCGCCTCCATTCACACAGAAAGTTTTCTCCTTCTCTGCACATTTTACAAGATGGCTTGTTCCGGTGGTAGATGTAGATGTAGCTGGATGGAAGATAAAGAAGGGGAAAGGTTTAGAGCTCTCTTCCCCCTTTCTAGGCATCCTTTAATCTTAAATTTCTTAAGAGGAAGAGGTCAAAGAAGGTGCAACAGACTCCACTAAACTTTCAGGCTTAATAAACAACAGCAAAGAAGTTAAATAATTTCTGGGTGTAATTAAACAGATCTATATATATAAAAGCCTAAGTAACCATTACAATAGGTCGACTGGTTGCTATGACATGCACTGACCGCCAGGGGGAAGATGCTCAATGCAGGAGCTGCCCCCTGGTGGTCAGTGCACTCCCACAGCCAACCTCCCGCGGCCAGCCAACCTCCTGCAGTCCCTCCCCCGAGACTGGACGAGACAGCCCAATTGGCCCGATAGCCGAGGGAGCCCACCTGTACATGAATTTGTGCACTGGGCCTCTAGTACAATTATGAAAGGGTAACTATTATTAGTTAATTTAATTACAGTAATAGGAAAAGGGCTCAAGATTTTTTATAACCAGTAGTTTATCTTCTAAGGAAGTTGAAAAAGAGCAGATCTATTGTCTTTAAGTAAAATGCATTTTCCAGGAAGGCTCAAAGATAATGATATGAAGTCATGTCAGTGCAACTCAATTTAGATCTCAATTTTAAATGGCAACTAATTGATAAAATTATTTATTTTAAAAATTATGTTTTATATGCATTTTGACCATATTTTTTATATATAATATATAGCAAAAAAATACAAGGTGGCTTATTTGTTCCTTATGAAAAATTATATATCAACTGAATATATATATATTATATAGGTTGGGGGGCATTATTTTCAAAATTTCCACTCTATTCTAATTTCTCATCAGAATATTTTTTGAAATGTCAAACTGCCATCATACTTTGGAGGAAATGGAAAGACAGTCTAATACTGCTAAATATGTAGACTAAGCACAATAATATTCACCCATTTTGAATCATGAGTAGAAATTAGTCTTAATTATGGTTTTTAATATCTTCATGTAATAAGGTTGATATTTACTTATCAAACTTCACAGTGATGCATCCACAGTTAGGTGCATGGATTAAATGAAGCCAAAGTTCTAAGTCCTGACACTCGAAGGGCATTTAGTATCAGAATGTCTCCCCACATCACTGGGAACACACAGGCAATATTCAGTCTCAACTCAAAGCATCCTAATGTACATAATGTGTATCAGGACCAAAAAAAAAAACACCACTATGTCCAGCCAATGAAGATTCCATTTACTCTTAGAAAAAAAAAAAGGCCACCTTTAGATAAAATGCTTTTCTTGTCTACCGATCATTCTTTGTGATTTTTAATCCTTGTCTTCCTTATCCTTATTTTGATATCTGCATATGGTATTCAGATGACTGTTTACTTTTATCTAACCTGTTGTGTATTACTTTCCCATTTTCTTTTGCCTTTCTTTTGCATTTCCTTCACAAGCTCACATTTTGTTTTGACTTTTAACACAGCTTCTCCTCTAACTCTGCTTGATTTTTACTCTACCTGGTAGAAACACTGATTAATCAGCCTCTGAATCACTCAAGACGTTTCCTGCCTCTTACTCTCCCATTTTAAAATTAGGCCTGGTTTGGGGCCATCTCGCTGTTCTCAGCATGGCTTTGGGGGTAACAGCAAGGACAGCTGAAATGACTTGTACTTTGCAGATAGATCTGGCCCAAATCCCACCTTCTACTAGTTTTGTGTCCTTGAGTAAGTCATTTAACCACCCAGGTGCTCAATTTTCTCATTTAGAAAACAGGGGCAATGGCTCTCTTACCGAATATTGGTAGAGATTATAAATAATCTCGGTAAAGAAACTGGCACAAAACTGGCACTCAAAGAATAATAGCAGGTATAATACTGGGCAAGTAGATTATTTCATTAATCAAATAAAAGCTTGATAATGAAAATTTGGGGATTTCAAAGATGCATGTTCTTTTGAGTTATTAGTATGGATAATTAAAAATGGTTCATTTTTTTGTATTTTTATTGAAACGAAAAGTTCTTTTCAAAATGCATTTCAAGGTATCCTTCACGGGTCTACAAGCCAAACAAAAGGCACCGGGAAGAGTAAGGAGAGAGGTGATCTTAATCTTCCCTTATCAGCGATATTTTATCATCGTTATCAGGATGAGGGAATGTCATTGGCAACATTTGGTCTGTAAAATTCAACATGTCTATACATCACATAACATAATTTAACATAATATTATATTTGAATGCCAAAAACTGCTTACTTAGGTGCTGTGTGTTAATATTTTCATTCATGGCAATTGCTTTTTAAAAAATATTAGGAGGAAGTTTGCCTTCAGTGTTAAAGGTTTTGTGCTTAAGACTTTCAACTGCTGACAGGATTGCATGGGATGAAAAATTGGGCAGGGTATCCTTGCTGCCCCAGGTGACAGTGCAGAAGGGACCACCTGTCCTGTGCTGTCACCACTCACGTCCCTGCAGAGGAACTCAGAGCCTCAAGTGGCCCCCAGCGGTCTGAATCCCTGACAGGTTCTACCGATTACCCCTCACCCATGCTGCACAGCAAACACTGTATCAGGCTCTTTCAGAACAAATCCTGAGGCTTTTGCTAAAAATAACAAAACCAACATCCCCCCCAAAGCAGACACTCCATATAAGTTGTAAGCTAACAATAAAGGTTAGCAGTGATACAAGCAAGAGACAGATGCACCATACCTCTTCCTTGGACTTTCTGATCTTGTGTTATCATATAGGCAAGATAAATAAACGTGTGCTAATACTAGAAATAATTCCTATTTTTTTTTTAGTCTTTTAGAAATATTTCCCCTTGAAATGATTATCCTTTTAATGCTATTCTGCAGCTCCAAGTTATGACACATTCATCTGAACAGTTCATAGATCATTAGTTGAAACTAGCAGTGGGCTATCCGATAGTAAAATAATTCCTGAAGACAATGAAGTAGCAACTAACTCATAAGGTCACAGACTATCGTACTTGGCCCTTTAATCGGTTAATAGCAGTGAGAACAAAAATGATCATGGAATTGTAAAGCATCAGAGAACTCCCAGATGATGCAAAGGGTGAACTGACTGGAGACAGCTGTTCTGAACCAACAGACTAACACAGGGGTACGTTGTAATTGTCAGAAGAGCCTGGATGGGGATGGTGATATGTACTCCCTTCACATTTTTGCCATTTTATTTTATTTTTTTAATTCTCCTTAGTTGAACTAAGTGGACACTCAGTCCTAAGCAGATCTATTAATTTTGCAGTGATATTTTTTCTCTTTGACTTACACACGCTGTATTGCGAAGTCAGACCATTTGGTAATTCTGCCAGAAATTAATGAAACAGACAAAGCAGCCCCTTAAACCAAGCTGTGGCAGCCCCATTCTTCCTGGGAGCTTTCGGAGGAATTTATTAGAGGTGAAGCTAACGGTTTTGCAGATAGAATGTATCTCAATATATAAAAGAAGACCCTCATAGCTGTCCCTAGAAGGAAGTGAAGTAGATCTCTCTTATTCAGTCCTTAATAAACCCTGCTTCCCCCGCTGTGTGAGTAGCTTGTCCTAATTTGGGAGTCTGCCATCTTCTAGTAAGTGTTAAGTCAGCGGTTCTCAACCTGTGTGTCGTGACCCCTTTGGGGGTCGAATGACCCTTACACAGGGGTTGCCTAAGACCATCGGAAAACACATATATAATTACATATTGTTTTTGTGATTAGTCACTATGCTTTAATTATGTTTAATTTGTAACCATGAAATTGGGGGTCACCACAACATGAGGAACTGTATTAAAGGGTTGCGGCATTAGGAAGGTTGAGAACCACTGTGTTAAGTGACCAGCAATTAGGAGCAGTGCAAAATAAAACTTCACTCCTTTTATGTTTGCCATGAACACACTTTCCTTAGATGTTTGCAACTACATTATAAGGAAGAAAGTATAAATAATGGTAAAGCAGTAACTTGTTACCAGAGAATGCACTTTGGGGTATTTCACTCTTGACCTGGTCTCTCTTGGCAATTTAGATCAGGACTAAGATTTTGGAGACCAAGATCACCATTTCCAGACTCTCCAAATCCCATACCCCACATACTGACGGACTCCCTCCCTTCCTTCCTCCCTCCCTCTCTCCCCTTCCCTTCTTGCTTCCTTTCTTCCTCCTCTCTCCTTACCTTCTTTCCACTATTCTTTAATAATTGCCTATTATGTGCAAGGCATAATGATAACAACAAGAGTTACTGAGGTTAAAAATTGTAAGACTGAACAATTCTCCCTAAAAGGAGACCTTTATAGACAAAATGTAGTGAACTAAACACTGGAGTTAGTTAAGGCCCTATTTCACCAGTTAGTGTTTGTGTGACTCCTGTCCAGCTAACCTGCCTCAGGCATCTCGGTGTAAAACTGAGATATCTCGGGGTGGCTGCGAAGTGTGAGAAAAGTCTTCAGCTGCAATGCTGCACACAAATATATCTTACTGTTCCTGTTACTAATGGTTGAATAGGGATCAAAGAGAAGCTAAAACATTTCTGCACAGGCTCTGAAATTCTGTATAATCAAGCATCAAGTGTTGTTTTTTAGTGAATTATTATTCTGTGAAATATGAAGAGAGATGGTCTAATTTGGAAGGGTAACCACTGCATGATTGTAAGCAGAAAGTATCAGTAATCTACTCAATTTAAACTTTATCACAACTGCTTGTCACTAAAACTGCCTATAAAAATAAATGGAAGAACAATTCATGTTCAAAGAAAAGGAAAACCTAACATCTTAAATGTGCAATTATTTTCAACTTTCAAAATCCACATAATTCTTTAATATTTCTGACTGAACTTGCCAGTTATAGGAATTAAGTTCACTCACAATATTGTGTCATTTCAACAGTTTAAAACCTATAAAACTGTTTAAAAAATACTGTGACATCCATAGTATAACTTAACATTGGGGAAATTATCTTTGACTGCATACTTTTAAAAATATATAGACTATTGTAACTGTATGACTAACCTGGTGATAAAA